CTTCCAGCAGGAGGAGGGGAGGTGGGATGTCTTCAACATATGAAGTACTGGTAGATGCAGCAGGACTGCTAGTATAAATACTGCTCCTAATAATAATGATCAAATCTATCATTACTTAGGCCTATTTGGAGTTACCATGGTAACAAACAAACACAGGAAAGATCAAAAAATCATCCATTCTTGCATCAAATACATTTTGTTTAAAAGGTTTACAAACTTTTTAAACAATATTATTATTCCTCCTCATCCTTTTTTTTTTTCCCCAGAGAATTTTCCGGATTAATGCTGACGGTGATTTGGCTTCTGTTATGTCGTCGCTCCGGGAGGTTGGGAAGTTATTTTATAATAATAATAATAATAATAATTCATATTTTATTTTGCAGAGGATAAAATAGAAATCTTTAAAATAGAAATAAAAACATTGGATGGCTTTTATCCTTTTTCAAGTGAACGTCTGGTTGTGTGTTTTCCACCAGAGGTCCCGTCGGAAAGCTGCGAGTGTCGACCGCCGCGGCCATCGCAGTCTTCCCCCTGGTGGTGTGGATGTACTACTACACCAACAAGGACCTCACAGCACACTGGCCTTCGCACTGTCAGACCGCCCTCTAGACCCTCTAGACCCCCTAGACCCTAACCCTGTCTAGACCCACCCTCTCTGCAGCCAAGGGGACCAGACTCTGACCCTAACCCCGTCTAGACCCAACCTCTCTGCCTGTCTCCATGTTATACGATTCTAAGCCAAGGGGACCAGACCCTGACCCCCTAACCCTGTCTAGACCCAACCTCTCTGCAGCCAAGGGGACCAGACCCTAACCCCCTAACCCTGTCTAGACCCAACCTCTCTGCAGCCAAGGGGACCAGACCCTGACACCCTAACCCCGTCTAGACCCAACCTCTCTGCAGCCAAGGGGACCAGACCCTAACCCACTTTCAAAATAATGTTGAGACATTAAACTGTTTTTGTCTAATCCCTGCCTCATGTTTTCTATCGAGTACAATGCGTCCGAATCTCAGAGTGTGTGTGTGTATATATATATATATATATATATATATGTATATGTATATATATATGTATATGTATATGTATATGTATATATGTATATATGTATATATGTATATGTATATATGTATATATGTATATATATATATATATATATATATATATATATATATATATATATATATATATATATATATGCAGTAGAGAAGTATATTCCCCATCCTGGTGTCTTGACGCCATTGCATGAAGCGGCCGCTGGGTGTCGCCAGTGAGCAGCCGATCAGGACAGCAACAGAGAAGAAGAGGAGGAGGACGCAGTGACGCAACATCCGGTGGATCCATGTGGACGGCGCTGATCTCGGACCAGGTGATTTGCCGGAACCGGAACCGATGGTCCACATCTAGTCCTCTGAGGTACCTGACCTGACCCGGGGCCAGCCCATACTCCCGCTTCCTGGTCCTGGAGACTTGGTCCCGACCTGCTGACCCTGAACCTCTCACCTCCAGACCTGCTGACCCTGGTCCTGGAGACCTGGTCCAGACCTGCTGACCCTGAGCCTCTCACCTCCAGACCTGCTGACCCTGGTCCTGGAGACCTCCATCCAGACCGGACCCTCTCGTATCCAGACCTGCTGACCCTGGTCCTGGAGACCTCCATCCAGACCGGACCCTGAGCCTCTCACAGCCCAGGATGTGGTGCCGTCTGCTCCTGCAGACATCTGCACGTCCACACGCAGCAGTCCGGTGGACCCACTGCGGGGTCCCGGGGCAACCCGGACCCGGGTCTAGAGGCTGGGGATCTCCGAGACTCCTGGTAGGTTCTGGTTCTGTAGCTCTTGTGGTTCTGGTTCTGTACTTTTGTGGTTCTGGTTCTGTTACTCTTGTGGTTGTGGTTCTGTAATGTTGTGGTTCTGGTTCTGTAATGTTGTGGTTCTGGTCTCTTGTGGTTCTGGTTCTGTACTCCTTGTGGTTCTGGTTCTGTACTCCTTGTGGTTCTGGTTCTGTACTCTTGTGGTTCTGGTCTCTTGTGGTTCTGGTTCAGTAATGTTGTGGTTCTAGTTCTGTAATGTTGTGGTTCTGGTTCTGTGCTGTTGTGGTTCTGGTTCTGTACTTCTTGTGGTTCTGGTTCTGTACTCTTGTGGTTCTGGCCTCTTGTGGTTCTGGTTATGTACTCCTTGTGGTTCTGGTTCTGTAATGTTGTGGTTCTGGTTCTGTAATGTTGTGGTTCTGGTTCTGTAATGTTGTGGTTCTGGTTCTGTAATGTTGTGGTTCTGGTTCTGTGCTGTCCAGGTCCAGATGTCCAGAGCAACGCAGCGTTTCCCTCAGCTGTCCTCCAGGTCTCTGGTCTCCGTCCCCCCACCTCCCCCCGGCAACAAGTCCAGGTCCAAGAAAATAGGGGTATGAGATTATTATTATACATGTTATAATATAGTTATACATTTAATACTTTATAATATAGTCTATATTATATATGTTATAATATAGTTATACATTTAATACTTTATAATATAGTCTATATTATATATGTTATAATATAGTTGTACATTTAATACTTTATAATATAGTCTATATTATATATGTTATAATATAGTTATATATTTAATACTTTATAATATAGTCCTATATTATATATGTTATAATATAGTTATACATTTAATACTTTATAATATAGTCTATATTATATATGTTATAATATAGTTATACATTTAATACTTTATAATATAGTCTATATTATATATGTTATAATATAGTTATATATTTAATACTTTATAATATAGTCTATATTATATATGTTATAATATAGTTATACATTATATATGTTATAATATGGTTATATATTTAATACTTTATAATATAGTCTATATTATATAATAGTTATATATTTAATACTTCATAATATAGTCTATATTATATATGTTATAATATAGTTATATATTTAATACTTCATAATATAGTCTATATTATATATGTTATAATATAGTTATATATTTAAAACTTTATAATATAGTCTATATTATATATGTTATAATATAGTTATACATTTAATACTTTATAATATAGTCTATATTATATATGTTATAATATAGTTATACATTTAATACTTTATAATATAGTCTATATTATATATGTTATAATATAGTTATACATTTAATACTTTATAGTCTATATTATATATGTTATAATATAGTTATATATAGTAGTATATGTTAGTATATGTTTACTATTTTATAATAGTCTGTTATATATTTAATATTTTATAATAGTCTATATTATATATGTTATAATATAGTTATATGTTTACTATTTTATAATAGTCTATGTTATATATTTAATATTTTATAATATAGTCTATATTATAAAACAAGATATAAAAGATAATCTTCAGCTGTGACCTTATGGACGACAGCCAATATAAATGTATTAATGTTTCCTCACTAAACGGACGGTCTGAATGTCACCTCCTCCTCCTCCTTCTTCTTCTTCTTCTTCTTCTTCTTCTTCTTCTTCTTCTTCTTCTTCTTCTCCTTCTTCTCCTCCTCCTCCTCCTCCTCCTCCTCCTCCTCCTCCTTCTTCTTCTTCTTCTTCTCAGCCGGTGACCTGGAAATCTCTCGCCGCGACGTTTGCCATCGGCGGAGCGGTCCTGGGTCTCATGAAGTACTTCAAGAAGGAGAAGGAGGAATGTAAGAGCATGGAAATGTACTACATATATATATATATATATATATATATATATATATATATATATATATATATATATATATATATATATATATATATATATATATATATATATATATATAATGTACTACAGTGGTAGTATGTATTACAGTGGACAAAAGGCAGAGTTTCTAAGGCGAGGCGTTGGGTAACTAAGTAATTAACCTCTTACAACAGGAGGTTAGGTGATGTAATTTTAATGTGTGTGCGTGTGCGTGTGTGTGTGCGTGTGCGTCTCCCTCCTCAGTGCTGGAGAAGGAGCGTACCAAGTCGCTGGGCAAGGCGGCGCTGGGCGGTCCGTTCTCCCTGGTGGACCAGAACCACCGGCCCAGCAGCAGTGAGGACTTCCTGGGCCAGTGGGTGCTGCTGTACTTCGGCTTCACCCACTGCCCCGACATCTGCCCCGACGAGATCGAGAAGATGATCGAGGTGGTGAACGACATAGGTAGCGCACCTCGTTCCCAGCATGCATTGCTTCACCCCCCCCCCACAGATCCTGACATTAAAGGACCCTCCATGTTCACCACCAGGTGGGCTGTGGATCAGCCATCGCACGCCACGTCAAAATCTACCCTCTAGTGACAGCCTGTCCAGCGGACCGTACCAACTGGTACTGTCCACTGGACAGGCTGTACCCTCTAGTGACAGCCTGTCCAGCGGACCGTACCAACTGGTACATCAGCCTACCAGTTGGTACGGTCCGCTGGATAGGCTGTACCCTCTAGTGACAGCCTATCCAGTGGACCGTACCAACTGGTACAGTCTAGTGACAGCCTGTCCAGTGGACCGTACCAACTGGTACAGTCTAGTGACAGCCTGTCCAGTGGACCGTACCAACTGGTACAGTCTAGTGACAGCCTATCCAGTGGACCGTACCAACTGGTACAGTCTAGTGACAGCCTATCCAGTGGACCGTACCAACTGGTACAGTCTAGTGACAGCCTATCCAGCGGACCGTACCAACTGGTACAGTCTAGTGACAGCCTGTCCAGCGGACCGTACCAACTGGTACAGTCTAGTGACAGCCTATCCAGTGGACCGTACCAACTGGTAGGCTGATCTATCCGTCGTACATCTTGTGATGTCACTAGAGGGTAGATTTGGACATGGCTTGTAACGGCTAGCCAACACCGTCTAGTGGCGCGGGTTCGAGTCCCAGCTGGAAGGGTCTGGGGTTCGAGTCCCAGCTGAAAGGGTCTGGGGTTCGAGTCCCAGCTGAAAGGGTCTGGGGTTCGAGTCCCAGCTGAAAGGGTCTGGGTTCGAGTCCCAGCTGAAAGGGTCTGGGGTTCGAGTCCCAGCTGGAAGGGTCTGGGGTTCGAGTCCCAGCTGAAAGGGTCTGGGTTCGAGTCCCAGCTGAAAGGGTCTGGGGTTCGAGTCCCAGCTGGAAGGGTCTGGGGTTCGAGTCCCAGCTGAAAGGGTCTGGGGTTCGAGTCCCAGCTGAAAGGGTCTGGGGTTCGAGTCCCAGCTGGAAGGGTCTGGGTTCGAACCCCGAAGTGTCTGCAGCCTAACCTGTTATCTGAGTTCACTGTCGAGTCGCTCTGGGAAGAGCCCTCTTCTCAGCGACTGAATAGTAACCGTGGCAACGCTCCCTCCCAGACAAGCTGAAGACGCTGCCGGACCTCACCCCCATCCTCATCACCATCGACCCGGACCGCGACACGCCGGACGCCATGGCGGCGTATGTGAAGGGTACGCTAAAGCAATGCTAAGTTCATCATGATAACCATAATTTTATTTTTATTTGTGTATATATATATATAAAAGTATAATTGCGATTATTTTGCGATTAACAGATTCAATTCATATTCTGCTGCGTCTGTGTGAATACAAAACAATATTAAAGCGATTGCTGGTTTTGTAATTTTATTTTAATGTAGCTAACGGATATACACAATCTGATTTATTTTGTTTTTATAATTTTTTTTAATTTTTTTTATTATATAAATGAATTGCAACTTTTCACAATTAGCTAATTGCGGAGGTCAAAGGTCAGAGCGGAGGACTGTCCGTGTGTGTGTGTGTGTGTGTGTGTGTGTGTGTGTGTGTGTGTGTGTGTGTGTGTGTGTGTGTGTGTGTGTGTGTGTGTGTGTGTGTGTGTGTGTGTGTGTGTGTGTGAGTAGAAGTTGGACAGCGTTAATCCAGCGCCGCTCTCTTCCTGGCAGAGTTCTCCCCAAAGCTGGTGGGTCTGACGGGGACTAAGGCCCAGGTGGACCAGGTCTCCCGGGCCTACAGGGTCTACTACAGCCAGGGGCCCAAGGACGAGGACAACGACTACATCGTGAGTACCCCTGATCCGGTCCGGTCCGCTCCGGTCCCAGAAAGTCCTTTAAGTCATTGAGCAGAGAGACACTTCTCATCCAGAGAGACGTGTGGAGGATCTGTTTCCGAACCCGGGAGCGCTCCCCTCCCTGGTCTGGTTCCTTTGAGCATTATGTGAATGCAGCAATCGGACCAAACCAAGTGGGCCGAGATCCCCTAGTCCAGGTGGTCCACCTAGTCCAGGTGGTCTTTCCTTTCTAAGCACACCTGGGAGTCGACTCAGTGGACCGAAGCGACGAGGACTTTTAGAGCTCCTCCTCCGTTCAGCCAGTCTGGCTGTGAGTTAACGGTCTGCGTTGTTCTCTTCTGCAGGTGGACCACACCATCATCATGTACCTGGTGGGGCCCGACGGAGACTTCCTGGAGTACTTTGGACAGAACAAGACCAGCACTGAGATCACAAACTCCATCGCGGCGCACATGAGGAAGAGCAAGAAGGGCAAATAAAGACTCGACCTTCTGGACAAACCTCATCTCCAGAGACCGGATCTCCAGACCGATGATCACACGCTCTGTATAATGACCAATGATTTTTTGTATTTATTTTGTGTGTGTGTGTGTGTGTGTGTGTGTGTGTGTGTGTGTGTGTGTGTGTGTGTGTGTGTGTGTGTGTGTGTGTGTGTGTGTGTGTGTGTGTGTGTGTGTGTGTGTGTGTGTGTGTGTGTGTGTGTGTGTGTGTGTGTGTGTGTGTGTGTGTGTGTGTGCTGGATCATGGGGTTGTTTGCTGCCCCCTGGTGTCCGTTTACGGCATTACAAGAAGAGATTAATCAACTTTAAAGTTTGATTCCATGTGAAGGAATGTGTGAGTGACCATTTCAAGATAAAAGTGCAATTTTGAAAAAAATAATAGCACTGTTTTGTTCATCACTGTCGCCTTTTTTTTTGCCTTTTTTTGCATTGTTTCTGCACTTCTGGCCTTCATCTTGATAGATATGAACTTTTGTAGGATATTTTTGTTGTGAGATTTCAAAAAAATAAATAATCCTCTATTTAGTGTTTGACACCCTTACTGCCAGCAGGCCGGTTAAGAACCACACACACACTAATGCACTGGAGACAAGAGAGACGCTGGTGGGGGTGGTGGAGGGGATGGGGGGGGGGTTCGGCAAAGTCCTGGTCCGGTCTGGCTGCCGAGGACCAGATACAGAGGCAGCTGTTGGCTGAGCTTGTGGGAGATAAATAGAGAGACTGATTTAGATCCGCTATATCCACCAATTAAGATCCACACCAATTAGGACCGTCTGTTCACCGCCATGAGGGAACATACGCTGTTATACTATTTACTATTCCTTTATCTAAATAAAGTGACCGGGAGAGTACTTCTACATGTCATTAATCTGGATGCCTACAGATAGACTGGACATTGGGAATCGAACCCAGAACCTTTCGGCTGTGAGCTGAACACCTGAACACGACTAGAATATGTTTCACCCTATTAGCTCTTCAACAGATAGTTTTTATACACATTTTCCACACAGTGTGGAAAGATGAGTTTACCGTCGTACTAATGTGAAGGGAAGTGCAACAGTTGACTGATGGACGCTGCATGGACCTCCTGCATGGACCTCCTCCTGCATGGACCTTCTGCATGGACCTCCTGCAGCAGATCAGTGATGGACGCTGCATGGACCTCCTGCTTGGACCTCCTGCTTGGAGATCCTGCATGGCCCTCCTGCATGGACCTCCTGCTTGGACCTGCAGCAGATCAGTGATGGACGCTGCATGGACCTCCTGCATGGACCTCCTGCAGCAGAAGACTGATGGACGCTGCATGGACCTCCTGCAGCAGCTGCTGACCATCTCCAGGATCTCCAGCTGTCCACTTCAACAATGATTCATTTCACTGGGATCAAAACGAAATGCGTCTTGATCTCCAAAAAGAGAAAGTATAAGGGGGGGGGGATATAAACACGAGAAGTAACACACACACACACACATACACACACACACACACACACACACACACACACACACACACACACACACACACACACACACACACACACACACGCGGCAGAGTGGAAACACTTGAGTTCTATAAATACTGAGGCTAATTGGGAAACGCGCGACGGCGAGCTTTAGACGGCGCTCTCTGGCTTTCTGTATTCCTGATTTGACCTGTGACCCCCGAGAGGCCGGCTGGCTGGTCTGCATTCCCAGCATGCCTGCTGAGCGCTCTGCAGGGCGGCTCCACCGACCAGAACCAGAACCAGAACCTGAACCAGCTTTAACGGGCCGAGCGGGCTTCACACTCTCAATGTGGAGAGATATAATATAAATATAAGATATATAAAAACAGAAATGTATGAGAATATTCGATCGGATGGATAAGTAGTATAATAAGAGTGACATGAAAGCAATATGAAAATAATCAATGTTTTGAAAATGAAATCAACCAAAATAAAAGCGGGTTATTGATATTCTGTGACACTGAGGGGCTGAAGGAAAGTAATCATGTGAAAAAACCTCAAGCAAGAAACAAAAAGTATTAGAGAGAGAGAGACTGAATAGAAACACATTGATTCCAATAATGTAATGATTCAGGTCTGGTTGGAACGGGTTGGATCATGTGAATGTCTCCGTTTGATGCTGCTTGGAACAAAGATAATACAGCAGATATCTCCAGCCTGGTCCTGGTCCTCAGACCCCCCCCCCCCCCCCCCCCCCATCATCTAGAGGCCTAATCTCCCCTGAGCCCACAGAATGAGGGCCGCCATGTTTGGCCCCAAAGCCCCTGTAATCCGGCGTCCTTAGCGATCATTGCTTTTTAATCGGCCGGCGGCGTGGGACACAATTGAAACCGTTTAAACGTGACACAATACGCTATACTTAGGCTGTCTGAAATACAAAACAGACATGAAACAGACGGGCGATGACTTTCTCCAAGTCGGCTTGTAAGCCAGATATGATCTCTCTCGCCAAATATAGGAGAAACCGCGAACGCGGTCCGGCCATGTTGGCGTTATAAAGGCTGTCAAAGTCTCGTTAGGTCCAGGTTCAGGTTCTGGTTCAGGTTCTCTGGCAGACTGGGGGACCGGATAGTAATAAACCAACAGCAACAATCATCTTGAGATCATCCTTCTGTCCAACCACGTGGTGTTACTGCTCATCTTGGGACACTCAGGTAAGTGCTGCTGTTCACCTCTACTGTATTTACAAAGAAATACAACAATTAACATTATTATTTATGGTTCTGTATCTGAATTGTCAGAGCCGGACATTAACCCAACCAGGGGTCCCACCGGCCCCCATGCTAATCTGTACACTCACTGTATTGGTATTATATGGACAACACATTGCAAATACACATCTATTTTATTTATTTTTTATTTTTTATTACATGTACATTAAGTCATTGAGCAGAAGCTTTTATCCAAGCTGAGACTGAGAACAATTAAAGCATAAATTACAACCTCAGGGTCCAAAATGTACTTTTAGACGTGACTTTTTACGGCCAGAGTGGAAACATCTGCCAGCCAAGCAGCTGTTGTAATTATTATGTAACCCTGAACTGTTGTGTTCAATTTGGACCCTGATGCCAACCAATAACATCTCCCATGAGAAGATATCCTTATATAAGATATATAAGTATCCCCCGCAGGTCTAGCAGGACATGGGGGACGCCGAGATGGAGATCTTTGGGTTGGCGGCGCCGTACCTCCGCAAGCCGGAGCGCGAGCGCGTCGCCGCCCAGAACGCGCCCTTCGACGCCAAGACGGCCATCTTTGTGACGGACGCCAGGCAGGAGTACGTGAAGGGCAAAATCAAGAAGCAAGACGGCTCCAGGATCACCGTGGAAACGGAGGATGCGAAGGTACGGGCGTGGCGTGGGGACGTCTCGTCCTCATCTGGCTCACTACAGACTAGAGAGGACGGCATGGAAATGGGCAATAAAATGGAGTTCAATCTTTTTTTTTTAATTGAGGAAGAAATATCACTATTTCATAGTTATTCGTGTCTCTTTGGTCCAGATTGTGTCCGTCCCGCCGGAGGACATCCGGCCCATGAACCCTCCTAAGTTCGATAAGATCGAGGACATGGCCATGCTGACCCACCTGCAT